CTCTTCCTGGGCAAATACTAGTATGAAATCCACAGATGAGATTTTATGCGTTTCATATGATTTAATGAGTTAAAATCCACATTTTCTTTATGAGTAATTTATTGCATTTCTTTGCTGGAGGCCAGTGACAAGCAACTCAATGGTAATAGGGGCTCCAGATTTCGACAGAGACGACAGTAAAACGTCTTGGAATACTAGCGATTCATACTGGAAATTATCAAACATACTAGGACGCATCACGAGGTAGAGTCCACTAGGTAGCCCTTTGCCTCGTGCCTAGTAAAAACGAGGTCAAGCCATCGCTTAGTTTATTTGATGAAGAGCTTGCTAGTTTAGAAGACCTCACTATTTTTTTCATTTAAGCCTGCCATTTGAAGGACTTATTCAGGATGGATTGCATTCAGTTTATCCGCGATATTATTTAAGGCTAAAAAGCAACGATATAAAAATGATGAGGTATCTGATAAGTGACTAAGTCACGTTGGCTTATTAATTTTGTTCTAGTTCCATTGGTGTCTGGTTTACCTTTAAAATGTTATAAGCCCTAGTCAGCGCTTTCATTATAGTATTTTTCTTGACACTAGGCAAATGTTCCTCATGCCTACTTACTTGGAGATTGCATAGAGTGCATGGCTTGTTCGGACAACGTCATTCGGGCAGGATTGACAACGAAATTTAAGGACGTCAATTGTCTCTTAGCCATGCTTGACTATACTCCAAGGGCACCAAACAACCTTCTCTTCCCCGGTTTTTCTATTAAGCCGAACCTTACTGGCGTCGTTAACGAAGCCGATGTAACCTGGACCCGGTTTGCGCCCGATATCGAAGACTTTGCTATAGACAAACTCTCTCTCAACTTGGTAAATTTTATACACTATTCTACATAAATTACTACTATTATTTTATTGGAGGAACTTTCATTTCGTATGAAAGTGCATGAAAAAGAGATTCGTAGGTCGATCTCACCAGAAGAGGACGGCTGAATCCCGTTGTACTGCAGCCGTTTGGCTTT